TTAGATCGAATACACTGGAACATGGACGTATGGTTAGCTTGCTTTTAGGGCTTTCTAAAATAGGAGGTCATACTTAATTATGTTGTTTAAAGAAAGTGCTGTTACCCTTACACCCCACCCAACCAAGCGCTCTCCTTGCTGAATCTATACTTGTGGATAACCATACAAGAAAATCTGTGGCTAGAGGGTAACTCTTGTTTATCGTGTAGAGATATATAAATAATGACACAACCATGGTTTCAAATGATAAAAACCGCCACTTACGAATTACACTTGGTTCCACAAAAACGTGTACGGTGATCACATCTTTGCAGTGTTGCTCCTGCAAACACCAACAGGGGAAGTTATGTAAAACAAGCTGAAAGCTCTCAGCCCTAATTAAAGGGGTTCCTCCATTTCCACAGGCTCAACAGAAACTGAGCCGGCAAAGTTATGAGGGTTATTTGAACATTAGATTAACATCCTCTGCGGTCAATGACTGCTTGAAGTCTGGAACCGATGAACATTAGCGAATAGTTTCCTCCTCTGAGATGCTCTGTCGCCTGCCACCACCTTCAGCTGCTTCAAACCCTCTGAGTATATTCATGATGGCGACTTTTGACTTTTGACATCTGGAAAATACTGCTGTAGCTCTCCTGGTTGAGCTATCTGTATATGAAACACTGAGCTCTTGTTACAGACGCCTAGGTTTGCTTGGTATCTGGCAGCCTTTGATTTCTTTCTGCTCCTCTTTAAGTGTTGCTATCTACAGATAAAATGCTAAAAAGTAACAAATTGTTGGTACACGTTTAGGTGTTTGCTCTCCTATAAGCTTTTTTTTTTCTTTACCAGCCTAATGAAAGTATTATTTCATTTGCATCAGCAACTTGTGTTGGGACAAATTAAAATGAACTAAATCCATCTGCCAGCTGTCCTGTTACTTTATTGATGCTGAAATATATGTTTGTTGAGTGGATAACGGGCAGTAGAATTTCAGATGGAATTGTAACTGATTTACTCTCCTTGATCACAGAGATCCATTTGTGTTTGACTGCAGCGCTGCTGAGAAGAAGCCTAAGAATACAAAGGATGAGAAGAACAGGTATAAATGGGCTGGTAACGTGTTTGCAAATGAAAATAAGAATCTGAACAAGAGAAAGACGCAGAGTAGAAGCAGATTTATGCAGCATTTAGACTGCTGTGGGAAATCTCGCAGAAGTTTCCGTCAGGCTTTAGGATATAGCTATAACATATCTGCTCTGTTCATCAGTGACGGTGGTTCCTCAGAAGAAACAGGAAGTGATAAAGTCCTCGCCTTTGCTGTATCTCCATCTGGAAAGCTCCTGGCACTGACTGATGACAACAAGAGACTAGTTCTGTTTAGCTGTGAGCCTTCTTGGCACTGCATCAGCATCAGGTATGACTTCACCTCTGTCACTCAGTTTCAGTAGCTTCATCTACTGCACGGACGTGTTCAGAACGGCGCTGTGTGTCTAACAGGTGGGTGGTGAGGAGGTGCACGTCCCTGGTGTTCACCCAGGCTGAGGATGAGCTGCTGGTGGCGGACAAATCAGGAGATGTGTATGTGTTCTCGGTGGTTGAGCCAGAGAAAGAAGGCGAGCTGAAGATGGGCCACCTATCCATGCTGCTAGCTCTAGTAAGAAACACCACCATCATTCAGTGCCTTATAAATAAATCTATCAAAAGAAGTGTTTTGGCTGCTGATTCCTCACGGTGAATAAACAAACATGTTAACAGTATGTGTGTTTTATGTATGCGTTTCCATCAGTCATTTATAGCATGTTGTTACCTGTTGCTCTTGCCTTTAGTGGCAGCTGTCTGACAACATACTGCACTGAAATCTGCCGTTGTGTAGTCATCAGTGTATTTTTTATCAGAATGTCTGTTAAAGATGCTCTTGTGCCGTCTTTCAGACAGTGGCGCTGGATGACAAGTACATTATCACAGCTGACCGTGATGAGAAGATCAGAGTGAGCCATCTCAGGTCTCCATACAACATCCAGTCCTTCTGCCTGGGACATCGTCAGTGAGTGTGTTAACAGAAAGGGAAAACACTGTCTGTGCACGGTTTCACTGTAGCAGCGTGTAGGTGAGGTTTGCTTCAGTGTTTTTTATGTGTTCTCTCAGGTTTGTCAGCGCCCTGCAGATCCTGTCAGCACATCCACACTGGCTTCTGTCTGGATCAGGGGTACGTGACATCT